GACTTGATCTGCCAACAGTTGAAGAAGTTTCCATACGGGACCGCGCTGGATGCAGCTCTGAGGACGACGAACCCACTTGTAAGAGAAGTGCAGAAAGCGTGCTGGTGCTGTGGTTTGTGTTCTGTTGTTATGTTCTTTCTTTCTTCTTAAAAAAGTGTGTTGGTGTTTGTGGTTATGGTTGTTATTGTTATTGTTATTGTTATGGTTGTTGTTGTTGTTGTTGGTGGTGGTGGTGGTGGTGGTGGTGGTGGTGATGATGGAGTTGGAGATGGTGATGATGATGGTGATGATGATGATGATGATGATGATGATGATGATGATGATGATGATGATAATGATGCCTCTGCTTATGTTGATACCGATGTCGACATTGACATTGACATTGTTGTTGACGATGGAGGGCACAATGACGACAATGTTCTTGTTTGTGATCGCAACACGTCTGCAAGAACCCTTTCTGACCGTCTCTCCTCTCAGATCATCGCAAGTCTCCTCCACGAGCTCTACGTCAGAGACTGCGCTCGCATCGCTCTCTCCGGGAGGGACGACACCACCCTCATCCCCATCTTGAAGTTCATCTGCAAGTACATCTCCGTCCAGACTTACACCTCGCTGCTCACTGACGTCAGCAACACCATCCTCGAGTTGTACACGGTGTGAACTTCTCTTGCTCTCAACCGCTCTCTTCTCTTCACTCAGCAGCTCTTCTCACTCCACTGCTCCAGGTCATCATTGGCAGATCGGAGGCTGTCGACGAACTTCTCTGGAAGATCAGGATGCGCGTGCATGAGCAGGTACTTGCGTTGCCTCGCTCTCTCCTCCTGTCTCCTGTCTCCTCCTGTCTCCTCCTGTCTCCTCCTGTCTCCTCCTCCTCCTCCTCACTCCGTCTCTTCCTCTGTTCTTCCCTCCCTTCCCTCCCTCTTCTCCGCTCCCTTGTCATTCTACTCTCTCGTCCTCCTCTCGCATTTCCTCCTCGAAGGCTCCAATACCTCTCGCGCCCCCTCTTTGCGCTCTGCACCTCTCCACAGGCTCTCCTCCTCCTTCCTCTCTTCCCCTCCTTCCTCTCTTCTCCTCCCTCCTACCATGCCTCATCCTCACTCTCTCTTGCGGCAGCTTATGATGGACGCCAACTTGGTCGCGCTGCAAGGAAGTCTAGAGCTCATCCTCGCCTCCACCCTTCACTAATCGCACCCTCTCCCTTATTGTTTGATAGCTCCTCCTCCTCCTCCTCCTCCTCTTCCTCCTCCTCCTCCTCCTCCTCCTCCTCATTCGCCTGACTAAAATCTTGAAGTATTCTCCACAGACCCCTGCGGACAATCTGCTTTCCCCCCCTCAACTCTTCCCCTTCACTCCCACCTCTACCGCTTTCGCGTTGATCCCCAACCAGCCTCCTCCTTGCTCCCCCTCACTCGTCTTTCCCCTCACCTCCTTCACTCCGTCCACGTCTTCTGCTCTGCTCCTCCTTCCCATTGAGATTTCTGCCGCTTCCTGCTCAGGCCTCTGACCTCTTCAGAGTGTCACCACCACTACACATTTACTTGAGGACTCCATATAAAAGCTTCCTCCTCCTCCTCCTCCTCCTCCTCAATCAAACTTCAACCCCAGCGCAAGGTACAGGAACGCGGCTTCCCTCGCCTGGTCTTGCAGGTACCCAGTCTTCCCCCCTGTCCCGAAGTGTCCTCCCTCGAACGCCGTCTGCAGCAGCACCGGCCCGCTCCCCTCCCCTCCTTCATGCCTCACCTTCGCCGCCCACTTGGCCGGCTCCCAGTACCCCACCCTCGTGTCGTTGAGCGCGGCCGTGAGGTAGATGGGAGGGTACCTGACGCCGCTCACGTTGCGGTACGGGCAGTAGCTGTCCACGTAGTCCGCCACCTCCGTCCTCCTCATGTCTCCCCACTCATCGTACTCGTGCACCGTCAGCGACAGGTCCTCGTCCCTCATCGTGCTCCCAATGTCCACGAACGGAACTTTGGCCACTACCGCCCCCACGGTCCCCGGGTACAGGTTCGTGTACCCGGACACCAGCAGCCCCCCTGCGCTCGTCCCGTGCAGAGCGATCAGTCCGGGCCTCGAGAGCCTCCGACCGATCCAGGTCATGCAGGCGAAGAGGTCTTTGAAACCGTTGAGCTTCTTCATCCCCCTCCCCTCCCGGTGCCACCTCGACCCCAGCTCTCCGCCCCCGCGAACATGGCACAGCACGATGGCCCAGCCCCTTTCCAGCAGGCTGATCCTTCCCACGTCGAACTCCGTGGCCAGGCACTGCCCGTAGCTGCCGTAGACGAACGCGAGGGTGGGTGAGCTTCCGTCCTCAGGCAGCCCCTTCCTTCGTATCACCGTCATCGGCACCTGCACCCCGTCCCATGACTCGGCGAGCTCGAGCTTGCAGTCGTACCCCTCCTGCCATCCAGCAGGCAGGCCGGGGCAGACCTGTTCCTGGAGGAGGGAGAGAGTCCTGTCGGCGAGGGAGACGTCGAACTCCTTCCAGGGGACGAGAGGACTCGACACTGAGACTCTGAGCGTCTTGCCAGCATAGTCGCAGTTGGCTCCTGGCCGGACGGCCGTGCCGCAGTCGGGGACGGGGAACTGTACAACCTCCGATCCCCCCAGCTGTATGGGCTGACCCAGCACGTCAAAGAGCATGTCGAGGGATGCACGGAGCTCACCTTGAAGCTGGAGGACAGCTGAGGGGCCGCCAAGTGCGGAAAGCCGCACGAGTTAGTCCTTTGCACAAGGCCTTGCGCTCGCTGCCCGGCTGAGAGGAGGAGACGGTGAGGGAGGAGGAGGGAGGAGCAGGCAGGAGGGACCTGGTCGGAGGATGTCGAGGATCCGCACCCGCTGCCCTGTGGGGGGAGCATGTCACAAGGTGCGGGAGTGGAAGCAAAGTCGTGCTCAACCTCTCATTGTGCGCTCGTAGACTGCTATGTGATCCTCGAAGACGTCGATGTCCTGGATTCTGCTGCGTTGAGTTCCCCTCAGTGTCTGAGGGGGGGGTCGCAGGACAAGCATCTTTACCATCCGTCCTCGGGGACGTAGAAGTCGGTCCAGTTTGCCCTGCCCGGCAGGACAGGATCGACTTGCACAAGCTTGTAATCTTCGGATCCATCTGGAAGGCCATCGGCTTGAGTGGGGCGGCAGAAGGAGATTGGCGGGGGTTCAGACCGTTGGTGACCAGAACGAGGGCCCCGTGCATGTGCTCGACGAAGTACTCCAGTCCCTTGTTGGGGTTGAGACAGGAGGCAGACGTTGCACCTCATGCTCTTACCTCTCGTCGAGGCTCGATGAGGATCGGTTCCTTCCAGGGATGCGAGGTCGGGAGGATGCGCACCTGTCAGCTGGTCTCAAGTTGCTCTCGCTCCGACTGTCCTCTCCAGACCTCAGAGCTTGTCTTGGAGTTCAACGAGATGGTGATGTATGCCATGTCCTGCACAGTCAAGATGAGATCAAAAACAAACGGTGGCCGGGAGATGAACGAGAGGATAAGAAGAGGAGGAGGGAGTAGGGGTGGACAAGAGGAGGAGGGAGGAGAAGAAGGGACGAGGAAGGTGTAAGGGAAGGAAAGCCTTGGGACGGAGGGGACGGACCTTAGTCATTCCAACATCCATGTAAAACGCGCTGTTGCGTTCCTCCAAAATCTTCTCTCTCCTCGTTGGATCTGCAGCAAGTGAGTGTGTGTGTTTTGAAGTAGAGTTTGCCGCTGGTCCACCTTTCAAGCTCTGCCGCCAAACTTTGTACCTGAGGGCTCATCTCAAACACACCACAACCGACTCTGCCATCTCATCGTCCTCAGAGCAAGAAACTCACGGGCGTCGATGATGGTTTGGCTGCACCAGTGGTGTCAGCAGACGTACTGTGACTTGCTGCGTCGACAGGCTCAGCTCACAGCACCTGAGTGTAGAGGATCGTCTCTCCGTCCTTCGCCCATTCCATCGACGTCACGTTGTCGACCTTGAAAAGGATCTCCCCCGTCTCGATGTCCTTGACAAACCCTAGGCGTACAGGATCACGTGCTGCCCCCCCCCCCCCTCCCCCTTCCTCGTTTTACGAGCTGTAGTTCCCGCCCTCCTTCCCGCCTCCCCCACAATCTCCGGGTTCACGAGCCTACCCAGGTATCGCTCGTTCCCCGTCATGTCGGCTGTGTATGCCAAGTAGCGATGACAAGGGGAGACCTGGTTCGCACAGCATCACCTCACCCAGCGCCACAGCAGCGCTTCCTCGCTTCCTCGTAGTTCACTTCCTCTCGTAGCTGGCTACCTTGCAGATCGGCACAGACAGGTATGGGACGTTACGGGAGATCGCGTCCTGCCACCAGAAGGATCGTTGCAGTCAAGACTGGAAGCCACAAGTCCCAACGGATCTCATCTCCTACCTGATCAAGGACAATCTGCTCAACCTCAGGATCGCTGACACTTCGTCTTCCATGCATTCGTCACCGAGATGGCTCCCCTTCCGCTCCTGAAGACTCTACCTGCAGTAGATCTGGAACGCACTGGTGTCTGTGGTCCGCATGTAGTAGTACCTTGCACGGGGGATCAGGAATGATGAGAAGATGGACACAGGAAGATATCACCAACTTCCGATCTTCTCCGGCGGGCTGCTGTGTTCCGATTCAACCCGAGATTCCATCTCGTCTAGCAACACCTTGGGAGGCCAAGAGCATTCAGACAGGTACAGCCGCAGGGCACAACAGACCTGCTCGATGTGCCTCCCCTTCATCAAGAAGTTCTCTGCATATTCATTCTCTGAAGGACGGCAAGTAAGGGAGCCCTCCCAGCATCGCGCTCCGGCATCTGACCTCGGTCGAGGTGGCGACGGATCATAGCCATGTCGCCATGCCTCAACCAGCCGTATGGATCCTCGGACTGGTCTCTCCTGCTCTCAGATGAGCAGGAATTCATCAACAATGCGCTGAATGATTGATCACCTTGCTACAGGAGGCGGCAGTGGCTTATGAAAGCTGCGGCAAGCACAACCTCAGGCAAGAAGGTCTTCACAAGCGCAGTGTGGCCAACCTTGCAGCGAGCCTCTGACTCCAGCTCTTGATGTTGAACTGCCGTCTTTGAAACTGCAAGAGGCCTCAACATCATCCCACGTTTTCATCCCAGACCGCCGACTCACACGACTGGAAGCAACACATCGAAGCGTTCGCAAAGCGCAAAAATGGCCCAGAAGCCGCATCCCACCCTATGTCGAGTACTCAGCAACACTGAAAGGGGATCATGAGCTGGCTGTAAGCAGCATTGAACCAACCTTGATCTGTCGCTCTTGTCCTCTCGTTCTCTCGTTCTCTTCCTCTCACAAAGTCGATCGTTCTACTCGCCCGCAGCTCCCTATACCCGCCATGCTCCCTCGAATATTTGCAGGAACTTTGAGGATTTCAAACTTGAAAACTTTGTTACAGGTTGAAACTTTCAAGGCCGGCCGGCCCGGCGCTCGCGGGGCCGGGGCCAAATCTCACTGAATTCGGTGGCCACCGACCGGTACCTTATCATAGTCAGGACTTTACTCAAAGTTAAGTTAAAAATAGTTCAGTCCCTCCGGCCCGGTTATTTCGGGCAAAATTTTTGGGGCAATCATCAATTTCCAATCAACAAATTTTTGGAGTAATCATTTTCCAATCAACGAAAGTTTGCAGTAATCATTTTCCATTCAACTTTTTGAAACAATAATCATTTTCCAATCAAAACTCCCCGTTTCGTACCGTTACACGTATCAGAAACGGTCGTAACCGTATACTTTTGCAATCATTTTCCAATCAAAATCAACTTT